TTGCTGGCAGGAGGGAAGTCGGAAAAAGGCAACTGTTCCCAAATTTCTAACCCACGGCAGGGAGTCAGAGGTCTCTGCTTTTGTGGCATCAGGTGTGTTTTTCAGCACTGCTTCCATCGTGACTAGTGTTGGGAAGCATCCTCGGGGCTTTTCTTTCTTTCCTATATAATAGTGCAAGCTGGGCCGTCTCTTAACCAGCTTCAGAGATCGGAGCGATGCTGCCTACACAGGCACCTGCTTTTCTCTCTTCCAGTTTGCTCAGCAGGAGGAAAAGAGGCAAAAAGCAGAGCGGCTGCACCAGCAGCAGAAGCACGAGACGCAGATGAAGGACATGCAGGCCCAGTGCGAGAGCAACACGAACGAGCTCCAGCAGCTGCAGGTACTGGTCCCTCGTGGCTCAGCCTCTCAGAGCTCCTGGGCACTGTTTCTGCTCCAGCACAAGGAGCACGCTGTACGAATTTGCTGTGAGGACCGACAGTGAACTAGAACTGAGGTCCCCTGCTCTGACTTGGGAGGTTTTTGTGGCTGTGTCTAAACACGCCCTGGAGCTCAGAGCTCTGAATGCCTCTGGCCAACGCAAGTCCTGTTCGTCCACAGGATTTACAGTCCCAGCTGCTTAATGGGTGTTCTGTGTTGTGATCTGTGTTTAGAATGAGAAGTGTCACCTCTTGATTGAGCACGAAACCCAGAAGCTTAAGTCCCTGGATGAGAACCACAACCAGCACATGAAGGAGTGGCGGGACAAGCTGAGGCCACGGAAGAAGGTAGTGCCTCCTCGGCCCGAGCGGGGTGTCCTGCTTGGCTGGTGGGACGGTGTCCCTAGCTCCAGTACGATCTCAAATGCATCTCTTGTGTGTGTGTTCCCTTCTGCTTAAGGCCCTGGAGGACGAGCTGAACCAGAAGAAGCGTGAGCAGGAGATGTTCTTCAAGCTGAGCGAGGAGGCAGATGGACAGACCCCGGCATCCCCAACCAAACACGCCAAGTTCGTCCCGTTCAGCTCCGCAGAGAGCTCCTAACACCTCGCAGCTGGCAGGCCACCAGCTGGTACTTGCTGTGTCCTCCTGGGCTGCAGGTGGGCAACTGGGACTTGGAAGACCCTCTCAGCAGCCTCTTCTCACAACAGCACCCTCCTGTCCCCTCGCTCTGTCTGGGATAAACGTGGCCTCTGTCCTGCACTGGGGGACGCTGACTGGAAGTTTTGGTGGCTTTTCCAGGAGCTGGCCTGCTCAGCACAGCTCCACGCCGGGAAGCCGGGCAGGACCCTTTCTGCGGTTGTCCTTGCACTGTTAGCTGGATGCGTCGCCTCTCGCGTGAGCCTGGTGCTCACCGGACTTGTCTGAAGCAATAACCGTTCTGAACAGGAGGAACAGGCGGTGGCGCCTGCCTCTGCGCAGGGGTTACCAGCCTCTCGCTCCACTGTGGCTGCCTCTCCTCCTGGTCCTCTGTAAGGACTAGTCTGGGGCAGAGCAGCTTTGGCGTTGTCTTAGGCTAACCTTGGCCTTCTGGCCCCCCAACACTTGCCTTAGATTTATTTCTGTCATCTACTGTGGCCTTTTTGCTCAAGGGAGACTGTGATTTGGATTTTTTTGGCCTTGCAGGAGTGAGGGTTGATTTTTTTTCTTTCCTCTTCCTCCCCATGCAGACTGTGCAGAAAGGGCGTCCTTCCAAAGATGCTTCTGCTTCTTTGTTTGCCGTGGTTGCTGGCACCACAGTCCCTCTGGTACCTAGCTAACACTGTCTTACCAGAGACTGGACTATGGCATAATTAAACTGTTCAGCTGGCTGCAGGCTTTTGTCTCTTAAAGAAGCGTACGTGCACGTGCAGAGGGGGAGGTTTGTAACGGTGCTCAGTCCTGCGGTGAAACAGTGAAGCGTTGGTCACAGTCATGTGCCTTCTGGTCAGGACAAGTGAGGGGCAGAAGGGTGTTATTGCCAGAACTCTCATGGTCACACATGTGCTTCGGATTTTTTTTTTTTAAGTGCTATGTATGTGTTGGCCCCGTGGGTCAGCCAGCCTGGCCATGCTGCAGTCAGGGTTATGGGCTGCAAAGCGTCATTTGGAAGGAATAAAGGAGTCTTGAAAGAAGGGATGCAAGGGGAGAGGAGATGCAAAGACAGGTCACGGTGGCTTGTTGCTCTCAGCATCACTTTCTCCACTGATGTCTCATCTCCTTATGATGTGCCACTGTTTCTTGGATGATTCTCCTGGCTTTCAGCTTGGAGTCCGGCGGCAGAGCAGCGGCAGTTCCAGCCCTCCGTCCTTTCTGCCCCGTGGCCGCGTGTCCCGGTTGGGCTGCCTTCCCCCACCTGCACAAGGCAGGGCTTGGCTGAGCCGCTGGGCAGGACCCGGAGCGCAGACCTGGGCAGGGGGACAGAGACCTCCCTGGGCAGCACCTTCGTCTTTACACAGCCAAAAGGCGTAAGGTAGCACTTAAGTTTTTCTCTCTGTTGATCTCTGGACAACATTGTTCGGTTTAGGCCTGCTTCCCAAGCAAGAAAAAATGTCTCGGCTTAAAAAAAAAATTATTTTAAAGTCTCCTGTGTTGATTTAGAGACATACTGACATTTCAGGAAAAGGTGGTATGTGATGTGCTACGCTTCTAGGTACCTAGGTGAAGGAGCCGGCCCCCAGGTCTTTAACACCCCTTTTATCTGAGGAGTGCATTTACATTTACTACCCATTTCGAGTTCATAATACATATTTATAAGCTTCCTGCAAACTAGAAAGACTACATCTGTTTGGGCCATTCCAAGTTTCTTCTGGATCCACACCACTGATGTCTTTATTAATGAATATAGCCTAGATGAGATCTTAAGGGCTGGGACCCTTTGCAAGCAGACTGCGTAGCAGCTTCTCAGTAACTAGCCTGTCGTCCTGCGAAGGCCACTTGTCCCATCTCCAAAAGCACTGACTGTGCCTTTCGGATACGAGAGCACCAGGTTGGGAGCTGATGGAAAATGAATGAGTGCAGGGGGTTGTTCCTGAGCAATGTGCTGGTTTGAGCCTTTTAATGGCATTGGAAATGCGTGCTGGCAGCCCCAGTGGTTTTGTTCCTGGGCCCAGTGGGGTCAGGCTGGACGTGTTCTACGAAACGGTGGTTGTCACAGAACTCGGCACCCGGTGCCTGTCCTTTCCCGTGTTAATGTGACTTGCAGAAGGACGTCCTGCAGCATACTGTTCGTAACGTGCCTCCTCCAGCTGAAGGGCATTGCCGCTCCTACTGCTGCCTTGCTCCAGCCCGGGGAGCGTCAGCTCCCTGGGTGCTGTGCAGCCGTGAGGAAGGAGACTGTTTCTGGGGACTTTCAAGGAGCTGCGATGCCCTTATGGTAAATCGGTTGTCCCTTTCTCCTTCTTTGCAGCCTGGAGCTAGCAACAGAGTTTTGCTTTTGCTAATAGAGGGTGGGAATGGTTTTGTCCCCTGCCCTT